AATCTACGTTTATTTAACTGAAATAAAATATATTTTATATAAAAAAAATTTTTCTCTTGCTATACAACACAAAATAGGGGAAAGAAGTAAAAAATAGGGGAAAAAGGGGAAATATTGATAAAAAGGGGGAAAAAGGGGAATTTTTTGAAATAGAGGAAAAAAAGCGGAATAGGGGAAACACTGTGAAGCCTGCAATATGGAGATGACCCTCCTGCAGAATATTCTCCTCTATCATTCCAAATATATCGTATTCAAACAAAACGAATAATGTATTCTACGAAAGACCTTTTTCGCTCAAAACCGAATGTTTAAACAATTTTTTTAACAATTATTTATAATAATTATGCAAAATACCGAGATGTTTCCCCTGCGCAGGTTCCCTTCCTATATTATATCCAAAAAATTCCAACCCGAAATGAATGAATTAATTAATTAAGTGTATTCTGATACTTACTGAATTTGTTCCTTCATATACATAGAATAAAAATATATAAAAGTTTTTTCAAAATTTTTTGAGTTACCGCTTATTCAAAATTTTGGTCAGTTTTTCAAAAAAGGCACATAACTTTTTTCTTTGTTATAAGCTTGCAGCAAGCTTATATCATAATCTTGTAGCAAGATTGCAGTGCAAGCTTGCAGCAATAGGACATTTTGTTACTTGCCACAAACTTATCACGAGCTTGCTCTGTAAGCTTGCACACCTTGCACAGCAAGCTTAATGCAAGTTTGTGGCAAGCTTATGTGCTGATTGCGATTGCTAAAATCATCAAAAATTCTTCACATCATATCCCATAGATTTGCTCTTCTATGAAACCACTATTTTTTTCCAGATGACCTTAAAGCTTTCTTTTTCGAAGAATATTATTCAAAAATTTTATAAACATTAACCATTGTTTTTCAAAATTAAATATTTAAAATTTTGTTCAATAACAGTAATGTAGGCATTATTTTTATGACAGTCTCAACCCTATAAAATGCAGAGGGCTTCTACTGAGGCAGATTAAGATAAAACAGTGATATTTGTGTTCAACGGCGCACCGCGGACGCACCGCTTAGTTTGTTTTTAATTTTCTTCTAAACTTAGGGCCATCTAAAGATTTATATGCTTTTTTGGAAAAAATGGCAGCTTTCCAATAAAAATAAATTTTTTTTTTAAATACCCATTTGGGTCAAAATTAAAAGATAAACCTTATTTTTTAAAAAAGGGGGTTAAGAGTTTTCTTTAAATTTTTTTTGTAAAATTTTTAGAAAGTAATGAAAAATGCTTTAAATTGCTTTAAATATGAGCGATTCCACGTCAAGTGATCAAGGGGTCTTACGGTGCAATGTTTATTTTGATAATTTTTTACTCTTAAACAATTAAACATGAAAATTTTTCCGAGTACAGTTTCGAAAGGTTTTTTCATGCTCTTTCGATTGGAAATAAGCATTTTCAAAAAAAAATTTTTTTTTACCTAAAAAAATCAAAATTAAAAATAAATTTTAATTTTTGGGGGGGAAGGATACGATTTTTTTTTTTTTTTAAACGAAAGCTGAGGTTTTTTCCTAAAAGAACATATCGCTTGCTGGGTGTAAAATCATGATACCTCGGATTAGCGTTGAAAAACATGATACCTCGGTTTTGATTTGAAAAACATGACATATCGTCGTTTGGTTTGAAGAACATGACACGTCGAAAACAAAAAATTTTTATTCAAATTTTGGTTGGTACCACTGACCGCGAAATTTAAAATGTGTCAAATATTTGAAACTTATATGAAATAAATAATTTCGCTTCATAATATGTCAGGTCGAAGGAGAATAAGGTAAAATAATTTTTTATAACAACAGTTACAATTCATAAAAATATCAATTCGAGAAATGCAAGTTAGCGAAACAACAATTACCAAAAATAACAACTCATAACAAAACAATTTCGCAAAAATTAACAATTAGCAGAAGCATCTATCAATTCTTTAGACTGTTAATGCGAAGAAAGCAAGTTTGCAAAAATAACAGTGAAAAAATTAATATTTTGTAAGAATGGAAATTTGCAAAAATGACAATTTACAAAATAACAATTGGCGAAAATAACAATTCTGTGACTTCCAATTCGCTATAAATCAAACTCTTTAAATTTAGACTTGAAATTCCACATAGAACTGAATGTATCCCCGATTCAAATTAAACTTAGCTTGATGATTTTTAATTTGACATGTCAAGTAGAATGTATTATTCGAGAATCCAAATTGAACCAAGTAGATACTTAAACTTAATTTTTGTATTTGGAATTGCAAGCTGATACTTTTAGTATGTGCGAACTTGGAAATGCAAGTAGAAATTATAAGATTAGAAATCCATGTTAAAACAAGTCGAAACAAAAATTGAAGAGGACAATCCAGAATAAATCCATTTCAATTTTATATTGGATATTCATTTCAGTTACATAAATCGGATTTCGAAGTTAAAACCAGTAGACACCAGTAGATCCATGTTCAATTTCTACTAGTCTCAACTGGTTCTTTAATATAGGGAATTAAAATAAATTTCATGTCGTGAAATATTTAAAATTATACACGGAAAAAAAAAGTTCACGAATCTCTCGTGAACTAGTATATCACTTTTGGATGGGACACAAAATTCTTGAAAATCAACAAACACAGTTCGTCAAAATTTCATCAACTCCTTCACTAGAAACATAGTACGGTTTCCGAACTTTTCGTCAAAGTTAACGAAAAATTCGTGAACTTTTAAAAAATGCTAAAAACAAGAAAAAATAATTTTTAGACACTACTTTTTTATAGTATTTCACTTAGGGCCGTCCATAAACCACGTAGCCCCATTTTTTGGGAATTTTGACCCCCCCCCCTCCCCCATGTAGTACGCTATTACATGTATTAGCGCCATTTTTTCCTCTTGTCGTAGTCAATTGATTGACCCCCCCTCCCCCTCAAGAGGCTACGTGGTTTATGGATGGCCCCTTAATTTGATAACTTGACGCCTATTACGCACCCAACTACACAGAATACACAATTTTATCGCCATTAAAATTCTTAATTCGCTTCATGGGATTCGAACCTAGTACCTATACCCTATAACATAATATTTCTAACAACTAACCGCCACGGCTAAATCTAGATACACTGTCCTTCGACAAACGAAACGATTAGCTTTGTCTGCTGTAAAACTCAGGACCGTGCAAAGTAGAAAAAGTCCCTTATCGTAACTTTTAATTCATTTTATGAATTATTTGTTTCACAAAGGAAATTAGCAAACAAAAATATTCACTAAGTAATAAAAAACACTGATTCTAAATAATAACTTTCATCAAAGAATTTGCCCGAATGTAAACACCGATGACACCGACTGAATGATGAATGCTTGATCAGCCATATTTGATGCGCATTACGAACTGCGCATACTACTGAAACTCGCGAGTTCACGATTTTTTCGTCAACTTGTACCTCTACTTTTGACGAACTACTCTTCATTAACAGTTCATCAAAAATTCATTAACTTTGTTTCAGTTTTTCGTTGACGTTCGCCATTTCTAATCAAAAGTGAATGAAAATTTTGAAATTTTGTGTCCCATCCAAAAGTGATATACTAGTTCACGAGAGATTCGTGAACTTTTTTTTCCGTGTATGAGTAAAGTGCAAGATTTTACTTTGATTTTAATCTCTTATCATATATTTTTTAAAAATGTAATATAACAAATCATTTTAAATTTCGCGGTCAGTGGTACCAAACAAAATTTCAATAAAAAAATTTTTGTTTCGACGTGTCATGTTCTTCAAACCAAACGACGATATGTCATGTTTTTCAAATCAAATCCGTGGTATCATGTTTTTCAACGCTAATCCGAGGTATCATGATTTTACACCCAGCAAGCGATATATATGCAAAAGTGGGACTAGAATATTTAAACATTGAAAAAAGAGATTTCTGCTGTTCGGAGTGCTCAAAACCCGGTTTTTGGCTCCATTTGGTAGAAATCTCTTTTTTTCAGTGTTTAAACATTCTAGTCCCACTTTTGCATATATATGTTCTTTTAGGAAAGAACCTCAGCTTTCGTTAAAAAAAAAAAATCGTATCCTTTCCCCCCAAAAATTAAAATTTAATTTTGATTTTTTTTGGTCCAAAAAAATTTTTTTTTTAAAATGCTTGTTTCCAATCGAAAGAGCATGAAAAAACCTTTTGAAACTGTACTCGGCCAAATTTTTATGTTTCATTGTTTAAGGGGCCGTTCAAAAAATACGTAACGCTATTTTTCGGAAATTTGGACCCCCCCACCCCCATGTAACGCAATGTTGTATACATTAGCGCCATTTTTTCTGCTGACCGTAACAAATAGCTTGACCCCCCCTCCCCCCTAAAGCGTTACGTATTTTTTGAACGGCCCCTAAGAGTAAAAAATTATCAAATTAAGCATTGTACCGAAAAACCCAAAACTTTCACCCCCTCCCCCTCGAAAAATATTTGACTAAATTAAAAAATATTTTAACCAAAAATCACTATCCACTAGTACTACAAAAGCCCCAAGTTTAGGCACGATTGGAGAAAATTTTTTTTTCAATTACTTGACATGGAATCGCTCATATATGAAAGAAAAATTGAACGATTAAACGAACTTACCTAAAGTGAAGTTCAATCGTGATTATGCAAGTAGATCTCGTCCGAATAGATCAATTGTAGTAACGCTAGTTGCTAGATCCAATTCACAGCTTTTTAAATACTCGCGCTAAAATCCGAGTGTCTCCACCTGATGGCCTCTCTCAGCTATCCCGCGTCTCTCGGCTATTCAGCCATTACGCTTTGATGTTCGAATTAATTCAAATCGATGTGGGTTTATTAGGGTTGGGAGGGAGTGATATATTCGGACGAGATCTACTTGCATAATCACGATTGAACTTCACTTTAGGTAAGTTCGTTTAATCGTTCAATTATGCTACGTGATCTCGTCCTCTAGATCAATTGTAGTTGTTTAAAGAAGGAAGAAATATCGATTTGAAGAACACGTGTTTATTTTTTATAATTTAGAATAGTTTTTGCAAACGTACATTTTTCGCGGAGAGGGCGATTATAAAATTTTCCAAATACATTTGAGGTTTTGGACCAACCCGCTGCAAGCCTAATGCTCTCTATATCTAGACCCTTGCGTTTAGCTGCCGAAACGGCGGCATGTTTTGAGCTATAGCCTGCAAACGCGGTAACATCGATTCCGCTTTTGCTCATAACTTCTTTCAGCCAACGACTGGCTGTTTGAGCGGTTGCCGGATGATGCGGCTTTTTAAAAGTAAATAATAATGAATCCACGCCTGTTTCTCTAATTGTTTTCGTTTTCTCTAAATAAATTTTTATCAGGGTGGCCACGCAGAGATTCGGCTGCTCATGTAGGTATGGAAAACGTAACATTGGTTGTTCCTTACCTACTTTGGACGTTTTGATTTTATCTGGAATGTAAATTTTTAGTTCGTTGTCACAATTCTTTATATTTTGAATATTTATTTTTACTAAGGTCTGTAGTCGTTGAGCGGTTGATAATGAAAGTAATGTTAAAAGTTTTTTAGTTATAATTTTTAAGTCTAATTGGTCGTTAGGACCGAGTTCGTCTAGGTATCGCAAGACGTTGTCGGGATCCCATATGTCATTGTATTTGGCACGTGAAGGCTTGGCGACAGAAAATCCTTTGCAAAATCTTTTGACCATGGTATTATTACCAAGGTCATACTTCAACACTAGTGATACGGCCGAGCGGTAACTATTTAGTGTTCCGTAAGTTTTTATTGATTCTGCTGTTGACGATAAAAAACTTAAAACTTCTGGAACAGGGGCTTCAAACATCGATATTCCCTTGGATTTGCAGTGGTTCCACCACAGCCTTAATGGTTTGTTATACTGCTTAATGGTGCTGTCTGATAATGACTGTAGTGTAACCGGGATTGAAGCCTCTGGCATTCCTTGAGCTAGAAAAGCTTCCCTGATAAAAGACCTGCTACCACACGGAGAGAAAAATCAAGCGTTTGTAGTAAGACATGGTCTATACTTAAAAAGCACGGCGCTGTTTATACTCGATTTGTAGAAATCTATGCTAAAAGAGTATAGGTCTCTACTAAAAGAGTATAGGTCCCTACTCTTTTAGCATAGATTTCTACAAATCGAGTATAAACAGCGCCGTGCTTTTTAAGTATAGACCACCCTGCTAAAAATAAAATCAGGAATAAAGAGAAAACGTCAGAAATTTTGATGTTTTGTGACTACTTTGACGTTTCCTGAAGCTTTTGGTTAATTCTGACTAAAGGATTTTTTATGCTCCTGTTGAATCCTGATGTTTATGGATTGCGATTATTGAGCATTGAAATCTTTTTTTTTATTTACAGCCTCTCACCGAAATATAGTCGGTAAATGTAAAGTATCGTTAAAACTTGAAATTTGTGCGTAGCCCTTTTTTCTCAATAGAATCGCGGGTCTATTGTTACGAGTTTCGGGTTTCTAACCTAATTTTTATTGCTCAAAAGTTTTGCATTTTTAAAATTTCAAGTAAAATGAATATAAATTCAAAATCTAGAAATCTCCACAATTACAAATATCTAAAATTTATTATAAAAAACATTTTTTTAAGAAAACTGTAACGTATCTCGAAAACCGTAATTGATAAATAAAAAAAGATATCATTTTTGAATTTAAGTTCTAAAGGATATATTGCATACATAATAAGAGCATATTGTTGGATGAATTCTAAGTCGATGAAAAACAAGTATAATGTTTAAATAAATATGAATATAAACAAATAAAAAGATTTCCCTTCAATTTTATGACGGTCAGTTGACCTTTTTCCAGGTAAAAAAGGGTGTCGACTTTGTATAAAAAACCTGACTACTTTTGAAGCTTTCTGATTAAATATGACTCAAGCCTGAAGTTCTCTGGCTGCAATCGTAACAAATGCAGCCTAAAATCATCAGAGATTCTGACTAAATTTCTGTCGTTTTGTGATTTTATTTTTAGTAGGGCATGTCTTACTACAAACGCTTGATTTTTCTCTCCGTGCAGGGTAAGCTTGGTCGCCAGTGGATGCGTCTCCCTAAACGAAGAAACAAGTAAATTATTGTCCGGTTCCAAATATTCAAGATCACTAATTAGCATTGACTTATATAAGGGAAACCAAGACTGGTTGGCCAGTATGGTACGACAAGTACGCCTTCGGATTTGTCGGAAATTATTTTTTGCAAGGTTCTAAGAATAAGTGAGAATGGAGGAAAAGCATAAAATTTATATTGAGTCCATCTCACGGTAAATGCATCTACTGCACAGGAGTTCGGATCCTGCTTCCAAGAAATAAATTTCTCGCATTTATTGTTCGAGGTAGATGCAAATAAGTCTATATCGAATTTTCCGAAGGTATTTTCGAGTTTTCTAAACGCGTAAGAAGCTAATTCCCATTCGGTTTCTTTTGGTAATATTCGAGATTCTCTATCGGCTATAGAATTTTCGCGTGATGAGATGTATGACGCGAAAATCCATAATTTGCGTTTTTCGCACCACTGCCATATCTGTTTACATAAACTACTGAGTTTGGGGTACTGTACGCTACCCCGTGTAGAAATTTTGCTGGGGCCCTGATCAGGGCCGGATAGGGCCGACCTATTAGGGAATGAAACGCCGCGCCCGATATGGCCCTGATCTGGAAATCCACATTTTCTTGTCGCCCCGATCTGGGCCTGATCGGGCGCGGCGTTTCATTCCTTACTATGGCCCTAGTAGGGTAATTTCTACACGGGGCCCATTTTGTTTATGTAAGAGATCGCAGTTGTGTTATCGATGCGAAGTAAGAGATTTTGTGAGCGTAGGTTTTTGGCAAAGCATTTTAATCCGTAAAATGCTGCCAGGAGTTCGAGGTAATTGATATGATGTTCGCGTTGGTCTTTGCTCCACCAACCGTGTGTACGATTGTTTCCGGTAACGGCTCCCCAACCGGTTAGCGAGGCGTCTGTGAAAATCTCGAGGGTAAACTCTGATGCTCGAATGGGGTTATTGGCAACAAGAATATTGTCAATCCACCATTTTATATCGCAGGACAATTTTTCCGGAAGGTTCATTTTGCTCTCGTAATTACCGTTTTCCTTAACCAATGATAAATATTTTTCCCTCTCTAAATTTTTTGTATATAGGGTACCATATTTTACGGCGGGGCACGAAGCTATTAATAAACCTAAATATTGTGCTAACTCTCGAATTTTGCAAGTTTTCTTTGCAAGAAATTCTTTTGATTTTGTGTAAATTGTTTTCTTTTTATTTTCGGTTAATTCTATGGACATTTTTTCAGTATTCCAAACGAAACCCAGGTATTTGACACTTTCCGATGGCACGGTGTTAGATTTTTCTAAGTTTATGATAAAACCTAAATTTTCTAGGAGAATTTGTGTTTCCTGAATATTTTTAAGGCACTCTGTTTTTGTTTTGCCAATTATCAAAAAATCATCTAGATAAATTACAGAGAGAAATAACCGCGATCTCAGATTTTCGACGACCGGTTTCATGAGTTTCGTGAATATATATGGGGCTGTACACAATCCAAATGGTACACAATTAAATTCGTAATGAATTCCTTTAAACACGAATCTCAAATATTTTCTAAACGGGACAGCTACCGGAATTAAAAGGAAGGCGTCTGTGAGGTCAAGAGTTGCTAGAAATGCTCCTTTAAATAGGATTCTGGCAACTGTTTTTCTGTCCTCGAGCTTAAAGTGGAGGGGATCAAGAAATACATTTAACTTTTTTAGATTTAAAATAAATCTTTTTTGTCCATTGGACTTTTCTGCAAGGAAATAGCTAGATAAAAATTGACCTTCGACTGGCGAACACTTTGACAACGCCCCTTTTTTAATTAATTTTTTGATCGCTACGTTATACTCGAATTCCTCGTGTGCAGGTATATTAGGCTCCTTGGTAGCTTCGGCTTGCCAAGGTTTAGATTTAAAGGGAATTTCGTATCCAGTAACGTATTGGCGAATAAAGGGGTCTGTTGTCAATTTTTCCCAATTATGGGCAAACAGTCTTAATCTCCCTGCTACGATATCTGTACTTACTTGATCTAACGTCGAGGTTTCTCGAAAGGGCGATTCCGCTGGTCCTTCTGCTGTCCTCCCTGGCGAGTATCCTTGTAGCTCCTTTTGGGGGGACCTTTGTAGTTTAAAGGACGAGGATAAGCTTCCTTTGGATATATCCTTTTCCTCTCGGTTGGTGCTTTGGGTGGTGGCTTTGCGATTTCTTTGCCGGATTTCTCTGCACTTTTCGCTGCTTTTAGTTTTTCGGTAAAGTTCTCTCCGTAGAGCAAAGTGTCTAAGTCACAACCCAGATAACAATCGTGCGTCGCATTTAAACGCATGTTTCTTGCACTAACTGCGACTTACCAGATGAGTCGGTTCATATACGCATCTTACTATCGTCTGTGACGCTGGTAATAATGCGAGTGTTGTGAACTGCATTTCGTAAGCGCCTGTGATACAAAATGATAAGCATGTTCCGTTCACAAGTGCGACTCGCTAGAAGAGTCAATCCATACGCATTTTACCATCCACAGTGCGAATGCTGTGAATGCGTGTGCAGTGAACTGCACTTAATACGCACGCAATTAATGATGCACAACCACCCGTATCGGCAATCACACATTTTATAATGGCGACAGCATTGTTTGTGGTGTGTTATCAAAATAAGTTTTTATTGTGATTTCATTTTTTATTGTTTTTTATTGCGATATTATTGTGAGGAATTATTGTGGATTTAATTTTTAGTACTGCAGCAAAATAAGAAAGTTAAATTTAATTTGTTTAAAGTACATATATATTTTTGTTGTATTAGATATAACCTCAAAAAAAGAATTTGGAAGTTTTTAACAATTTCAATTCCAAAATTGTACTGAAATATTAAATTAAAATCGTTTTTATAAATAACATTTTAATTTAAAAAAAATTACTAATGTCAATAATCTTTTCTTTTTATTTAATTCAAATAAGGCTGAAGTATAAATATAATTTATTCGCATTATACCGTCACGCATGTGCCCATCACAATATGCGACAGTTATGGATCGCATATGATGACGCATCTGAGTGGTCCAGTGAACGCGCATAGTGCGGATAAATCGGCACGCGTGCAGATGATATTAGTAGCACACAACGCGCATTTTGTTATCTGGGAATCTTCGGCGACATTTTTAACGAGTAGATTCAATCCTGGTGTGATAAAAGAACGACGGGTTAATGACATCCTGTGGTGTAGATCGGTAAGAGTTCTACCCGCGTCTGCTAACACAGCTATTACCTGAGACATATTTATTTCAGCTTGCGGTTTTGACAGGAGTTCTGACAGGCCGGTTCCCAAGGCTGTTATTCCAGCGCCTAACTGGTTTTGATTAAAGACTTGATAACTGTCCTTTTTTAGAGACAGTGATCCTGTGACACATTTTATTTCGGGATTAAGTGTTGGAGCTTGCAATGTTTTGCAATTGATAGCAATTGGATGTTTTTCAATAAGGTCTTTCCTTATATCCTTTGCAAGTCCTACTTTTAATATATTTTGCCATATTTCAACTAAAGCAGTGTTCAATTCTGAACCGAATTTTTTATTTTCATTCACACTACCCAACAGGTTAAGTGTTTCGGCGTCCACAGTCGAGTTTTCGGTTTCCGGCTGTTTCCGTGTTTGTTCGGGAGAGTTCGTTATTTGACGTGATCGCGACCTGCGTCGCTTTCGTGGGGGTTTTTCTGAATCGGTCGAAGCGTTGGACCTCGAGCCGCGCGATGATGAATCCGATGAAGATGAACTTGAGGAGCTAGATGAGGAAGATGATGATGTGTGTGAAACGGACGGAGAACGACGCCTCTACGACGACTTTGGCGTGACGCGCCTCTCGGGTCACGCTCGCCGCCATATTTGTCGTCTTTCGGTTTTCTATTCAATTCTTTTCGAGTTCTCCGCTGTTCGAAATTGACCGTGATCGGTCTCGACTATGACGTGACAGTCCTCTCAGGTACTGCTCGCCGTCAACATTGTCGTTCGAACCTCTCGTGTAACTGGATTTTGAAGGTGATCTTCCTGTCCTTACTTTTTTATGCAAGTATTGCAGTTCATCGAAAATTCTGTCGAAATTCTTGTCATTTTTTCTCTTACAAGACTTTTTGGACTTCTTTGACTTTTTCCTATCACGACCCATTGTCGAGACTTTTATATTATTATATTATTACTTTTATACTTATTTTATTATTTACTTTTATACAGTCGGGCCTCCGAACTGAACGCTTTCAAACTGTACGCTGTCGCCAAACTGTACGCTGGCTTTAGTTTTTAAGTGCTCCACAGTGTACGGTGGCGCTACTAAATTCAGTGCCGTATATTTGAAAATGTTGCCTTTTAAGGAAGAATCTGAGGGACAGTCAAATAAAAAGTTATTCCAATGTCATAATTTCGTAATTTAAAAAAACTAATTAAATTTTAAATTCGTCTTGTTGGAAAGACGAAGAATTTAATTTTGTATATTTAAAACGATTAAAAGTTTCATTTGAATAAAAATTACAATTTTCTGTCAATAAGAATGAACATTTGTTAAATTTTAGGTTATGTTACTTAAATCATTCATTATTGACGACAAAATTATCATTTTTATTCAAATATATATTTAAAATTTTCAAAATTTAGAAAATTAAATTCCTTACGCTTTTACCAAAAGGAATTGAAAATTTAATTTGACTTTTTTTTAAAATACTAAATTATGACATTGGACTAACTTTTGTTCCGATTGTTTATCAAATTCTTCCTTAAAATTAAAAATTTTACTGATTTAATCAAATTATTTTCTTTTTCATAATTTGGATAAATCAGTGGACTTCTTTTAATTTTATGAGGCAATACGTTTTGGTTAAAAATTGTTAATTTTTCTAACATTTATAATTTTAAGAATAGTATATATTTTTATGATTTCAATTAATTTTAAATCTAAAATTATGTATATTATAGTCCCAGACGATAAATGAGGAGCAAATTTTCAAAATTTGATAAATTCCTATTTTCTTATTATTTCGAGAAATCGAAATAAATGACTTTCCTGACATAACCACTCAGTTAATTTCAAACTAAAAAATTTGTAATATTTAATATTTGTAACAAAGTTTTTATATTTAATACGTTCTGTTTTTAATAAAACTTTCACATAATAAAGTAACTTTAAGGTTTTGGTAATTTGTTCTAATAACAAACATAAAAATTAAAAGTCAATTTGGTTATGTCAAAAAGTTTTTAAATTGAAAATTCGCTGTTAATATTTTTTTTTTTTAATTTAGCAGGGACATGACGATTTGTGAGATATTTAAATTATTAAATTTATGTTTATCTCGATTTAAAAAAAAATATATTTATCAACTTTTGAAAACTTGCTCCTTAAATATATAAGTGTACAGTCCTGAAAATTAAATAGTGGGGATGAGTTCGTCAGCGTACAGTTTGAAATCAAGTGGAGGGGTTATTTCTGGGGTACCGTACAGTTCTGCGGCCCGACTGTATTTATATTATTTTTTATTTCACTCGCGAGCGTGTGTAAAGGATCGCACAGAAAAGCGTAATGGCTGAATAGCCGAGAGACGCGGGATAGCTGAGAGAGGCCATCAAGGCGCTAGCACAGCTCCTACTGCCTGCCTGCCTGCCTGCAGGTTGACATGGTAACACATAAGAGTAAGAGAGTCAGAAAATTCAAATTAAATGTTTTTTCTCTCTCACTCTTATGGCGCCTGCCTGCGCAGGCAGGCAGGCAGTAGAGGTGAGAGTGTACCTTCAGGTGGAGACACTCGGATTTTAGCGCGAGTATTTAAAAAGCTGTGAATTGGATCTAGCAACTAGCGTTACTACAATTGATCTAGAGGACGAGATCACGTAGCATAATTAAAATCGATAAAGGTACTCTCTCACCTCTACTGACTGTCTGCCTGCGCAGGCATGACCGGCATGACAACCTGCAGGCAGGCAGGCAGTAGAGCTGTGCGAGCGCCTTAAAGTTTAAGAGTACGGTCAAGGCCTAAGCACAATAGATTCGCGAAAGTCGTTCGCGAACGCAAAGCATGAGTTAGAAAAGAACAGAGATATATTTGTGTCCTTGTCTATCTCATGCGTCTCGTTCGCGAACGACTTTCGCGAACCTATTGTGCGTTGGACTTCAAAGGCCTTTCTCCAATAGGTTTTAAAAAGTGTGCGAAGGACTGCGTCTGCGTCGGTTGCTATAGCAACACATGCTAAAATCAACGCAACGCAGTCATTCGCACACTTTTCAAAACCTATTGGAGAAAGGCCTTAAGGCCTAAGCACAATAGTTTCGCGAAAGTCGTTCGCGAACGCAAAGCATGAGTTAAAAAAGGACAGAGATATATTTGTGTCTTTTTCTATCTCATGCGTCTCGTTCGAATGTTAAAAACATCGAATCGTCAATACGACGAATGTTCAAAACGTCGAATGCTAAAAACGTCGAATGTTCAAAACGTCTAATCATCATCTGTTCGAATTGCCAAGTAGTAGAATGGTAAAGTAGTCGAATGGACAAAAAGTCGAAACGCCATCTGTTCGAATTATCAAGTAGTAGAATGGTAAAGTTGTCGAATGTTCAACACATCGAATTGTCATTTAGTCGAATGCTAAAAACATCGAATCTTCATTTAATCGAATGCTAAAAACATCGAATTCTCAATTCGTCGAATGTTCAAACCCACACAGCACATGATATTTCCTAAATATTTCCTGAATATTTCACTGAAAGATTGAAATATTTCAGTGCAAAGTTCTAGAAATATTTCTGCAAACAGGAAAATGTCCGCTTATGTGGGAATATTGACGCGAAAGTTGAGAAAATATTTCATTGAAATATTCCTGCAATATTACACATAAAGATTCTGCAATATTGTGAAAATATTTCACAAAATGGAAAAATTTGTTAAACACCTCAAACCAATAGGAATTTTCTGAAATATTTTAAAACCCATAGGATATAGTAAGCCAAAAACTACTGCGCAGCTCTACAGGCCATAGAAACTGAGTTCGACCAGTGCGCATCATTTCAGTTGAATATTTCCAAAATATTTCAATGAAATATTTTCTCAACTTTCGCGTCAATATTCCCACATAAGCGGACATTTTCCTGTTTGCAGAAATATTTCTAGAACTTTGCACTGAAATATTTCAATCTTTCAGTGAAATATTCAGAAAATATTTAGGAAATATCATGTCCTGTGTGGGAAACGTCGAATTATCAATTTGTCAAATGCTCAAAAAATCGAATTGCGTCAATACGTCGAATGTTCAAAACGTCGAATGCTCAAAACGTCGAATCGTCATTTAGTCGAATGATAAAAACATCAAATTGTTAATTCATCGAATGCTTAAATCATCGAATTTTCCATTCGTCGAATGTTCAAAACGTCGAATGATCAAAACGTCGAATGCTCAGAACATCGAACTGTCAATTCGTTAAATGCTCAAAACATCGAATGATAAAAACGTCGAATGCTAAAAACATCGAATCGTCAAAAGTTCGTTAATGTCTACTGAAAACAAAGAACTTTTTCGAACTTTTGACGATTCGATGTTTTTAGCATTCGACGTTTTGATCATTCAACGTTTTGAACATTCGACGAATGGAAAATTCGATGATTAAGGGTGGAGTCCCATGACAGCGTTTTGCGTTGCGTCGTAATGGGAGAGAAAAAGACGCAAATATACGTTTGCTGCATTCTCTCTCATTACAACGCAACGCAAAACGCTGCCATGGGACTGCGGCCTTAGGCTGGAGTCCCATGATAGCGTTTTGCGTTGCGTTTTGTAACTAGGCCATGAGTGTGAGAGAGATACAGATATATGTTTGTTCTAT